TTGGGGGCTGTATCTTGCAGAGCCACAGGAATGGAGCTGCCCAAGGCCATGGGAGCACACCCCTTTATCAGTGTGCCCTAGAGGTGAGACATGGAGTCAAAGGAGATTATTTTGGAGCCTTAGAATTTAACGATGGCCCTGCTGGATTTCAGTCTTGCATGGGGCCTGTAGCCACTTGGTTTTGGCCGATGTCTCCCTTTTTGAGTGGGAACATTTACCTAATACCTGTAACCCCATTGTATGGAAGTAACTAACGTGTTTTTTATTTTACAGGCTCATAGGCTGAAAGGATCTGTCTTGTCTCAGATGAGACTTTGGACTTGGACTTTTGAGTTAATGCTGGGATGAGTTAAGACTTTGGGGGACTGTTGGGAATGCATGATTGGTTTTGAAATGTGAAAAGGACATGAGATTTGGGAGGGGCCAGGGGAAGAATGATATGATTTGACTCTGTGTTCTCACCCAGATCTGATCTCAAATTGTAATCCCCATGTGTTGGAGGAGGGACTTGGTGGGAGGTGACTGAATCATGGGGCAGACTTCCCCCTTGCTGTTCTTGTGATAGTGAGTGAGTTCTCATGAGATCTGATGGTTCAAAAGTGTGTGGCACTTTCCCCTTCCTTTCCCTCTTCCTCTTCTGCTATGATTGTAAGTTTCCTGAGGCCTCTTGGCCATGCTTCCTGTACAGCCTGTGGAAATGGGAGTCAATTAAACCTTTTCATAAATTACCAAGTTTCAGGTAGTTCTTTATAGCAGTGTAAAAATGGACTAATACACTATGTTTATGAGCAGGGTGGGGGTGGGGTATTACAGAGAAAACTGAAGAAAGTTGATCTGTTAAGGCCATTAGAAAAAAAATTGCCCATTTCAGCTGGATTTTTAAAACTTTATGAGGTTTAAAAACATTGCCTAAGAAATTCAATTTAAGTAAATGACCTAGTGAGGCAGACATATGTGGAATCATTATGAGTGCTCTAAGAAAAATAAACCCTTGTTACTAATTTGCCATAGTATACTGTATCCAAGATTCTACTTGAATATGTTATTTTGGTTTAAAACACAAGTAGTGAATTATAGTGAACAATATATTTTATCTTCATAAAATTTATTTTTATTATCTAGTGAGTGTCTAAATGAAATAGATATTCAATTATTGTAGGCCATTTAAACCTGATTTTAAAGAGAATTAATGAAGTTCACAATGGGTGTAATATTCAGTTGAATTGGAATTTCAGTTTCAATGGATATAAACTTATGTTTTTATTATCAAAAGGGTTGAAACAAATGAAACAGCTATTATTTTGCTATTTATGTCATGAATCAATATTTGTTAAGAATTTAGGCAACAGTATTGTACTTACTTGATCACGTCTTATTTTAAATTTGAGAATGACAGATATTTATAGCACATAGTTAATTACAAAAAGGAAACCTCAATATTCATAGACTTTGTAAGAAATTTTATAATTATCTATATACATTTTTTTTCTCATGGAAAATGCTAAGCTTAAGATGTGCTGCTTCTGTAAGCTGTTACAATTACATACAGCAATAATCTTGTTTTGTTCTTTTCCCCCTGCTATAGTTTTAAATTTTACAAGTAATTATATTTTCCTATCAAGCCTTGACATAAAGGGTAAGAGGCGAGAATTTTTAGTTGAAGGCAGCTTTCAATTTGAAAGAGAAAGTAACTATTTAGGAAATACCAAAATTGTATTTTTTCTTTGTGTTGGGACATTTAAAAATTAATAGAAAATCTAAAATGCCCACATCATTTGGGAAAGATGCTTGTACACAAGCCTTGCTTGTTTGTTGTTTTTTCCTTCCAAGGTAATTTAAATTTATATCAAGGATATTTATTGTCCAATCACATTAATTGTAATTATCACTGATAAGA